CTCTATGGCTATACCGTGGGCTATACACATACGAGAACCGCTTAGGTCTCAATATGGAACCCGGCCTTCCACGGTTCCCGCGGATTCATCGTGAAGGCCCGGCGCCGGACATTCCGCCGCGTCCGCTGCCGAGGGTGATGGAGGATCTCAACAGGGTCTACTGTACGGACACTCTGGAGCAGTTTTTAGCAAGCCAACACTAACCGGGGCCTCTCGGTGCCACTACCCGTTTGAGGTGAGAACACAGGAGGATACCGGCTCCACACGGAGGCTATAGAATCTAGCGAATGTGTTGCCTCTGCAAAGTGCATTTAAAATCCTTTAATGCACGGCAAGCCGTTGATTATCCTGCTTATTCCATTGTCATTTGCCAACTTAAAGCTGTTTATGATGTTAGCAGTGCAATATTTAACCGGAAGAGTAAAAATGACGGTTATTTTCATCAGTTACGACTCGTTAGCTTTAGCATTCTGCCCGCTTCAAATCAGATACAAAGATGAAATAGTGCGGTTATACCACATTTATTTGAATTAATTATCGATCGATCTATCGAGAGAGATAGAGATGACAGTTGTGTGTGCGAGTTACCTGTGTCTGCGCGTCGCTCTCTACAAGCAATGATCTGTTGAGTTACTTCGATTTTACCTCGTTGCTGAGGAAGATTATTAATAAAAGTAGCGGGGCAGCACCAACAAAAAGTTTCTGTATGTGCGCAGCGCAATCTGCGGTCTCCGACCTCTCTCCTGCTCACTGTGTTTATGTGCAAGTGGTGTGTATGTGTGTATGCATCAATTAAAGCAGCCCAACCATCAAAATAAAGTGTTAGCAGATATTTAGCAGACATACTACTAATACTCCAATGACTGCTAGTCGACATGTAGTTGCAAAGTTACTTATCAACAGATGTCTAAAGGGTAACATCAAAATAACCAAAACCAAAATAACCATACTGATATTACAATAAAAATTGTTCAAAGCAATGTGTACACATTCATCTGATCTGATATCTTAGCTTATGGCTGTTTGAGAAATTATTATTTATTATTTATAAGTGGTCTTTGTCTGCTTTAAATAAAGTAACTTCACTTTACTTAAAGCAGACAAAGACCACATTATAAAGCCTTTTAGATGTTTTCAGGAAGACTTTGTATTTGTAATTTTACAGTAAAAACACTAATATGATGTACTAAGTTATTGTGCAGATCTTAAACAATGGCAAGATATGAGACTTATAATTAGGCCTGTCACGATAACAACTTTTTGTTGTGCGATATATTGCCCCAGAAATAACTGCGATAAGCGATATTATTGTCATTTTAAAGACCATTTTATGCCTCTTAAAAGCTACAAACACAAATAGTTAGGTATTATAATACATTAAAACTGTTCTTATGATTATTTATGAGATGATACAACATATTACAAGTTTTTTTTATAATGCATTATGCATTAATTATAATGCCTTAAGAATACCCTTGTAATGTATTATAAATGTGGGCTTCATAGAAAGTGTTACCCTTTTTTTGATAGATGTGTATATTATATATGAAAACAATACGTAAAATTACTGACTAATGTAAAATATTTGAAATATTTTGCAGGTGGTACTATTGACATAACGGAGGAACGGTGGAGGAAGGCCATCTGAAGGAACTGCATGCTGCATCTGGAAATGACATGGGTGGACAGAGAGTAGATGGGAACATCATCTCATTTCTAAAAGATATATTCTCTGAGGAAACATTTGATAAATTTGAGCAAGAACACCCCACTGAACTACTCAAATTAAAGTGTGACATTGCTAATTTAAAATCTTACGACACAGATGTGACCATTTGGTGCCCGTTAAACTTGAAAGAAATTGCCAGTCAAAGACAGAGCATGGAATGTTATTTTGAAGGTGTTCGTGGAGTAAAATGGGAAGATGGTGCAATCATGATTGAAAAACAACAATTGAGGAGGTTTTTTGATAACAGTCTCAGGGCAATCGAAAACAACATTAAACAGATTGTGAAAAACACAGAGCTGAGGATTGAGTACATGCTATTAGTTGGAGGATATTCTCAAAGTCCAACTCTGCTAGAATTTATGAAGAAGCACTTTGGCTCTAGACACAAAATTCTCTGCCCTGATGAACCCCAGGTAGCAATATTAAAGGGAGCAATCATATATGGCAAAAAACCTACAGTGGTGAAATCACGCATCAGTACTCTAACATATGGGTTTGCTACAAGTATAACCTTTAATGAATCCGTTCACAAAGGCAAGAGTAAATATGTTAACAGCCTAGGAGACGAGTACTGTGATGTCGTCTTTGAAAAGCTTGTTAGCAAAGGAGAGTCGGTTCTCTGTGATGAGCTTCGAGTATTCACCCGTTGGCCAGTAGACCCCACACAAACAGCAATGAGATTCAGATTTTACAGCACTAAAAGACAAAATGTCAAGTTTGTGGATGATTGGGGGGTGGAGTGTATTGGATCGCTCTCAGTTGGTATGCCAAATACTGACAAGGGCATGAGTCGTAAGGTCAGGTTAGAAGTAAAGTTTGGCTCTACTGAAATGAAGGCAACTGCAACTGATTTGGAAGATTTTAAAACTAAATCAGTCACATTTGACTTCATGAGCAAGTAGCTTTACATCTGTTGACTAAGGACAACTCAACATAGCACTAGCAGATGAAATTCATATTATTACGCCACAATAATCATACTTTCTAAAATTCTTCAGTTAAAAATCTTGTGATTTCTTTACATCTGTTGACTAAGGACAACTCAACATAGCACTAGCAGATTAAATTCATATTATTACGCCACAATAATCATACTTTCTAAAATTCTTCAGTTAAAAATCTTGTGATTTTATGTCTATGGTAAATTAAATTGAAGGAGTCAATTCTTTTATTATACAATAAAGTAATCATAGTTCCCTTAAAACCAATGTATCTATTCTGGTACTTATGTTACAGGCAATCTTTCTATTTGGTGTCTGAGAGGTAACTGAAGGTTTGCCCCATGTCAGGAATGCAGTAACAATGTTTACTCATTTAGCTTCCAGAAAATAAATTATGTATGTACCTTTCATTATGTAGCTTTTAGTTAGAATTTTGTTCTTACTCATTTTATTCTGTGGTTCTCGTATGAATATAAAATGTGTTTGAGACATGCAAAGACAACTGTACCAACCATGTGTACCATTTATCCATTAATGAATATATATATATATATATGCTTAGCATGTGTAATTATTTTAGGGTTTATAGCACCATTAGTTGCTATATGTTAAATATACAATAAATCATGAAGTAGTTTGTATCAGTGCTGTGTACCCTTTATTGATGTAGTTCATGTTCTGATAAAACAAATAAAGCTACAATATGTTAACATGACATGCAAAAAAAAAATTTGTTATTGCCATTAAAATCACAGCTCCAGGCTGGCAGCAAAGAAATAGGAGAGGCGATTTGAAATTATAATATGCGATGCATTAATATGTTTTTTTAAGTTCCCATTTGAGTGAACATTTTACTTATTTACTTTCTGCCTTCATAATCTTTTTCCTTGTCCCTCACCGGCCTATTGCGAACCTTCAGTGCCCCTATTAACCCCCAGACTGTTGCATAAAGAGTCTCCACTTGCTCTCTGCTATGTTACCAGCTACGTTTCTTGGGTTTTAAAAGTCTGGGTCATCCTTTACCAGCTCTTTCTGTTTTTGCGGTGTTCGGGAGAAGGTGTGTTGTTAACCCTCTGGGGACTGAGGGGGTTTTTGGGCCTCGGCAGAAGTTATGACATGCCCTAGCATTTTTCCCCCCAGTTGTTTATAAACATTAATGGATAAAGTCAGATTACACTGTGCTACAATAATATCTGAGCAGCATATATGTACATATTCATATTTTTGAGAAAATAACATTTATGCATGGTTATTGAAAAATCAGGCAACACTTTATAATAACTTTCATTAATAAAACCTTAACAAACATTATATAATGCTTAACAGATCGTTAGTTAACATGTTCACAGCTAGTAATATGAGATAATGTACTTGTTAATGTTTATTAATGTACTTATTAAAAATTAACTAATGATTAACAGATCATTATTTAATGTAAATTAAAATGCTTAAAAATGTCATTAAACTCTCAATTCATAAGTTCATGCACTTTAAAAAAATCTTCAAAAGCTTCATTAAGAATGCATATTGAGAAACAGACAGGAGCGCAGCTCACACATTTGACGTCACGTCGTCAGAGCAAAAGAAAAGTCAAACTGTAGAATATATATATATATACTGTATGTAGTAGCAACTTTACATGGCAGCTCAATCTAATGTTAGCCTAGAAAAAAGTGCGCAGTTCACGTGTTTGTGCGGACTGTACGCAGGAGCTAAACCATTAAGGGCCTTATAGGCAAGTAATAATATTTTGTAACTGATACGGGACTTAATAGGTAGCCAGTGCAGAGACTGTAAAATTGGGGTAATATGATCATATTTTCTTGACCTGGTAAGGACTCTAGCCGCTGCATTTTGGACTACCTGTAGCTTGTTTATTGAAGATGCAGGACAACCAGCTAGCAGTGCATTACAATAGTCCAGTCTAGAGGTCATGAATGCATGAACTAGCTTTTAAAAAAATATTTTTTAACATTTAAAAAAATGTCACTTTAGTCACTTCATTGTTATTTTTATTTTATTTTTGGTTACACTTTATTTCGATAGTCCACTTTAGACATTCTACTAACTATAAGTAACTTTGTAACTACATGTCAACTACATGTCAACTAATTCTCATTAATTTGCATATGCATGTCTACTAACTCTCAGAGTAGACTGTTAGGGTAGGTTTAGGGTTAGTAGAATAAGTTGACAAAGAAAGTGTTAGAAGATATTAAGCAGACAGTCTACTAATACTCTACTAACTGCTAATTGACATGTAGTTGCAAAGTTACTTGCTGTTAATAGAATGTCTAAAGTGGACTATCGAAATAAAGTTACCTTATTTTTTGGCTGCAAAACCTGCAAAAAAAAAGTCCATGTGTGCTTTTTTTTTTTGGCAAAAACCTCTAAGTCCATCTCTTTGGACAATACCTACTTGCAGAATCACTAAAAATGCAACTTGAAACATTGCAAATGATGAAAGGAGAAATCAAAATGTAACAATGAACAAACCGATCAACTCACACACACACACTTTTACACCAGACGCAAACTTCTAAAAGCTGTCTACTCCAGATGCGGTGTGGGCAGCGGCCGCTTTGTTGCATCAAGTGTTGAGCAACAGTCATGCTGTTGTAATGTTGTCACACACACACACACACACACACACACACACATTTGGATGCAATATATCACTGTTTATTTTGAGTTTTATGGTCTTAATTTGTCTTGCGCTTTGCTGTTCTCGTTCAGTGTAGACATGTCGTTTGTGTGAATCAGTTTCTTCACTGTTACATTTTGAATCTGCTTTGAGTGTTTCCAAGTTGCATCTTTTGTGATTTTACAACCGTCTTGTTCAATGAGATGGACTTGGAGGTTTTTGCCAAAAAAAAAAAAAGCATCATGGACTGAAAGACAGTAAAGTTCGTTAAATACCCATGAATTTACTAAAGTGAAAATGATTGAAAATAAAGCATTTCAATAACTGATTACTAACCTTTTTATTGTCATTAAAGAGAAATTACTGAACCTCAACACAGGAGCCTGATTAAAAAATGCTCATTTAAAAGAAAACATGTCAGACGGACTTGGAGGGTTTTGCATCTGAAATCTTCATATATATGTATGCATGTTTATTTTTTTTGGGGTGCTCTACTGATAAATAAATAACTTCTTGTGGAAGAACACTGTAGTTAGGGCTACTTCTCTCTGTTCCTGGGCTACAAGCAGGAATCGGCCCAACCGATCTAAAGTAGTCCCCATATAAACACTTACAGGCTCACTGTTTGGATTCAGGATAAGACAAAAACACCTTTTTGAGATGGATTCATGGTGTACTCGCCTATTAAATAATATTTGTTAATTTTGAACAAATAAGTGACAAGAAAGTAATTATTAATAGCTTGAATTTAAAAAAAAATGTTTATGCTTTAAATGAAGCTTGTTTTTTTTCCGATCAATACAATTACGTGTTTTCTTATTTCCCAAAGTGTTTTTTTCTCCATCAACCCAGAAAAGGGCACCAAAGTGAAGAAGACAAACACAGCCCGTCTTCACGTGAACCCAACAGTCCTTACCTTGATTCAGGACCTTTCAGATCACGAGTGGCGTGATGTCTAAATATGGACCGAAGTCAGTAAGATTTGTGACATTTAATGAATGATGTGCCATACTCTCAGTTTGAAGGTTTGTTTCACCTGCTATGCTCAGTATATGTTAAGTTACAGTGTATACAACTGTTACAGTATTCTGATTTGCATTCTTGTATCTCATGTACATTTGTTACACTGATTGATTCCAAGGAAATGCAGTAATCCTTAAAGAGTGTTAATGTTACTATTATTCATAAAAAACATTTGTTCTTGAACCGTTTTAAGAGAGAAGTCCCTCTATCTTTCCTTTTTCATTTCCAGTAAGATAATCATTAATCTGTCACATGCTCTATATTGTGTTGTTTGTAAAGAAAGTTCACGTTACACATTTGTGTTGAGAACTGACTGATTTTTTGTGCACTTGTTTAAGGTCAATAAATGCTTGAAAGGGCAAATTATTATTGGATTTCTGAGTCTTTCAGTGCAGTAGCTCTTTATGCGTATCTAGCTTTAGCTTTTCAGTTTTTCGAAGCCTCATCTGTGTACATTGGGTTATATTTTTCACATTTCTGGTAGAAGTCTATATGGTGGTGCAGTTTATTTGAAACTAAGATGAATGTTTGATCTGCCTGTTTAAAAACAGTTCCTGTTTTCACTTCTCAATTTTACAGTTAATATTTCTTTGCAGTGAAATCGGATGATATTGAGTCTACCCTAAGTGACAGCTGTACTGATGATATTGAAAGAAGTAGTATAACAAAAGCGTGGTTGTGCTATTTAAAAAAAAAGATTTACTGGTTTAAAAACGGCTGTTTTTGTGAATCACAAACATTTTAAACTAAAATTTACAGTTTTATACTGTAAAGTTGTTTACATTTAAAATATATTTTTTACAGAATTATTCTGGCAACCACAGCTGCTAAATTTTTTCTGTAAAAACAACAGGATTTTTTTTGTTTGTTTAAATGCTTTAAATGGTACTATTTCCAACAATTAATTACCACCATTACAAGGAAAAATCCAAAATTTTAACATGAAGTTTAATATAGGATGAGATTAAATCTAAGTGTTATAAACATTTACATTGGATATAATACAGGCTAATGAATCCAAAAGTATAAACTAATCTCTGCGAAGAGTTAAGAGAGGCTCTGAATATATCTCTTCAATATATTATTGAAGGTAACTCTCAATAATTAATTCTAACAGAAACAGAAATGTGACCTGCTCCATCACTCTGAATCTCTTTGACCTAGAAAAACAATATCAGTTTTACTGAATTAATGAAAGTTGAGTTATGGGCATTAATGTTTTTCTGTGATTGAAACACTGACTAATTACATATGTAGCCAGAATCAGCTCACACTAAAACTGACAAATTGATAT